CTCCCAATGAGCTGAGTCCCAGTTGGGGATCCCAAATGAGGGATCTGTTGGCACTTACATGGCGCCTCCTCTCCCATCCCCTCTTTTCCTGCCGTTAATACCCTGCCCTCCTTCCCCCTCTCTAAACAGACAGACAGAACCAGGGGGCAAAGGGGAGCAGGCATCATTTCTCTCTGTACAATCTTTAATTTTTTTTGTCGTTGTTCAGATGAATGACACATTCAAGTTACAAAATTGGGCCTTAAAAGAAGCACATCGTACAATGAACAAGCAGATTGAATTTAACACTGAAACGCTAATCCGCTACCACGAGAAGAGAGACAGGGAAAGGGGGTGGGGGAGTGGGGTGTGGGAAGGGCTTACAGACACAGGGTGGGATGACCAAGGGAGCAGGAGGGGACATGGGCAGGGGTCGGGCCATGGGTCTATCTCCCCTCTACATACAGCCTGCCTCCCACTTCATGCATCTATAGTGGTCATTCATGTTGATAGGTGAGAAAGGGTCCTTGATGGGTTAGACAATCCTGATCTTTGCAGGAGAGGATGACCCCTGGGATGGGCTCAAATAATCCCAGTCTTCACAAGGCATGGGCTGCCATCAATGCAATTGGTTTTGTGAGATCAGGCCTCATCCTAGTGCAGACCTGAGCTCAGGACAGATAGGAGTGGCAGCAGTATGGTGACTGGCTGACCACTGGGCCAAGTCCACTCCTCTGCCCCTGTGCCCTACCATTGACAAATCTAGCCACTTGGAGGAAAGGAAAGGGAGGAAAAGGAGAAAAACCCAGCCCTTCCCAATGGCCCAGAAACACCTCCCCTCACCATAGGTAATGGAGATTCCAACGCCCATGTCAACCTGGAAGGACACACAAATAAATAAATAAATACAGGGCCCCTGGGGTAGGAGAAGAGGTGGGTGAGGAGGAGGAAGGGAAAGAGGGAGAGGAAGAGGAGTCACAGACACAGTAAATAGTTGTCTCCATCCCCAGCGACATTTCTCTGGAAATTTTTTTCTCCCTTTTCTTTTTTTAAACCAGGAGCTAAAATTTCAAAGACAAATAGTTAAAAATATACATTATTTATTTTTTTCCCCTTCTGTTGTCTTTTCGCTGTCTTTGATGTCTTGTTCTGGAGACTGCTGAGGTCAAAGTTCAAGCCACGCCAAGGGACTGTGGCTTGGGGTTAGTTTCCTTTTTTTATTATCATTTTTACATTTTTTTTTTCGCTTTTTTCTGACGTATAAAAAGGTAGCGGAGTTGTCTGGGTTTTTTTTTTGGTTTTTGTTTTTTTTTGGTTTTTGTTTTTTTTTTTTAATTGTTAAAATCTTTGGTTTGGTTTTTGGTTTGTTCTCTTGGAGGCCTTGTCTCTCTGCACGGGGACCAATGGGCCCACAGGTCTCTGTCTCTCAGTCTCTCACACTCTCTCAAGCTTTGGGCAGGAGTGTCAGGTGGGGATGGGAATTTGGCTTCTAAGTAGGGCAGAAGGTGCCAGCTGGGTCAGGGTTCTCCCTCGGCCAGCCAGCACCCCTCACCCCACTTTCCCTAAAGTCCATCCCAGCTGCCCTGGCTTAGAAACTGACACCACCTTCCACCCCCAACCCTTGCCACCCCTTCTTGTCATGGTGGGGGAGGGGGCTCTGTGAAGACTTTGGTATCTGGACTCAGGCCCCTATCTGAACTCTACCCATCCTGGGTTGGGAGCTGGGGAGGGTTGTGATGGCCCAAGGAAGAGGTTGACCCTCTTGCACAGCCACCCTGCCCCCAACCCCAGCCTCTGCCTTCCCCCTTCCCTCCAGGAGATCACAGAGAGAGGTGGTTTGGTTGGGGGAGGGGATGATTTTTGGCACAGTTAGAGGGCCCGCCACATGGCTGGACCCCATCTCTGCCCTCACCTGAAAGGGGGGGGAGAGGAGAGGCCAGAAGAGAGGGGATTCCCCTTTCTCCTTTCTTCGGTTCACCCACCCACCCCACCCCCTCTCTCCACCCCAGACCACCCCCCACCCCGACATCTAACCTACCCCCAAACCCCCAGGGTCTCCCCCTCCCTAACCCCCCACCCCCCACAAAAAAATCCCAGTCTCCCCGATTCTCTCTCGCTCACACACAGACACACGGGCACAGGCCCCCCGCGCAAATCACAAAATCAAAAGGATGAGATAGTTTTGCTTCCTGGAGTCGGAGTGAGGGGGACAGGAGTGGAAGGGCAGGAGAAGGGGAAGGGGTAGCATGTGGCTACCACCCCCAAGCCTTCCATGGCCTGGCCCTCAGTCCCTGACCTCCCTCTTGCTGCCCACCCCCCACCCCCACTCCCCAGCCGGCCCCCTACGCCGACGATATTTGGTTTCTCTTAACATTAAAGTTCTATGAGGTATTTGGTGCCTTATCTCCAGTCCTGGGGGGAGAGGGGGGCCCAGGGGGGGAGACCTGGGGCTCACCTGCCCCTCCCTCCCCTACCCCTTCCCAAAATATTTGGTTTCACAGCTGTAGTTAAAGCTTGGGAGTTTGTGGGTTAGGTTTTTCGTTTGTTTGTGTTTTCTTAATCCCCCGAGAATTTTTTTTTTTTTTTCCTTTCTCGCCTGGAAGTTGAGCGAAGATTCGGAGAGGTGCCACAGGAAGGAAGGTCCTCCTTCCCTACGGCCCTGGCCCTGTCTTCCATCTCCCTCACTCCCCATCCATCCATGTCCCCCGCTGCCCCCAGCAGCCCAGGCAGGGGAGGTACCTGGGGGGCACAGGCCCAGGATGGGCAGGAAGGAGATGTGGAGGCGAGGATGGGGAGTCCATCGGGGGGGGGGGGGTTCCAGTTTGGTTTGGTTTTTTTGGTCTAGAATCAAAGTTTTTGTTTGTTTTCCAGTGATATAGAGTGTTCTCAGCAATGCCTTCTGTAGCTTTTGTCCATGGTTTTTCTTTTTCCCTTTCATTTGTTGCGTTCTGTCATCCCTGTCCAGGCAAGTAGCCCTTAGCCCCATTTCCCCCAGGCCCCTTCAGGGGCCCACACATTCTCACTCTGGTCCCAGTTCCCCTCCTGTCTCTCTCTCTCTCTCTCTCTCGGAAACAAAAACAGAAACACTCGGCAGTAGGGAGGGGGGGGGAATCCAGTCCAGTGGAGAGGTGTACATTCTGCTGGGGAACCGGCAGTGAGGGAGGGCCCATCTACAGCTTCCCTCCTCAAACCTGGAGAACGGGAGGGTCTCCGTCCCTCCCAAGACGAGGCTTCCTGGGATGGGGATCCTACAGAGGATGCTCCACAGGTCCCCACAGTCCGGGGAGAGGCAGAGAGGCGGGCACAGACTGGCACGGTCTGAACTGCTCTGCACCTTCCTCCAGAGGCAGGTTGAGATGAGGGCTGGGGAGGGAATCAAAACACCAGAGTCCCAGGCACCTGGGGCAGGTGCATGAGACTCAGTCCGTCTCTCCTCTTGTGTCCAGCAGGAAGAGGAGTATCCAAGTGGACGCCACCTCTCATCTGGGGGTCTCTCTCTACTGCCCAATGCAGCAAAGGTGCCAGTCCCTGCCAACGGAGGGTGGGCTCTCACACCAATGGCTCACTTCCTACCCAGCAACACTTTGGTTTGAGGAAGGAGAGAAAGAAAAGGGAAGGAGAGAGAGGAAGAAAGGCCAGTCAGAACCAACAGGGAGGATCCAAGCCACCCCCAAATTGTTGTTTCTTCATAGATTCCCTTCATGGTTTTCTGCCGTACATTTAAAGCTTTGTTCAGTTGATTTTGGGGGGGAGGGCACAGCAGTCAGGGCAAGAGGGGGGGTCCCTCTGGGTCCTGGCCTTGACATCCTCCCATCCTGCCCCAGCCCATACTTCCTGGGCAAGAGGCCATCTCTTCCCCTCCCTCCCAACCCCCGTAGAGGTCCATGAGGTATTTGTGACGAGAAAGAAGTATCTATTGGTCTGTCCGTCTGGCGCGGAGGCTGAACGCCCTCGCCCTCGCTCTGGAGGCCCTATGCTTCCCTCCCGGCTCCTCCAGTCTGTTCTCTTCAGAGTAGTCTGAGTTCTCTTCTTCTTTCCCTTAAATATATATATCTATAGATTTTTCTATTTTAAAAATTTTTTTTCAGTTTTATTTTTTTGTGGTACTTTTTTTTCTTTTTTTCTTCTTTTTTTTCCTTTTTTTTTTTTTTTTTTTTTTTTGGTTCAAGACATGGCCGGCAGAGGGACAACCCTGACGGCAGCGTTCCCACAGGCCTCTGTCATCTAGATACATCCCAGTGCCCACAGGGGAGACACTGAGAGGACAATGGTGGCATCCCCCTCCCCCAACTCAGACCCTGATTCTGGGAGTGGCCATCTTGAGGTTGGAGGTGGGGGGTGGGGATGGGGGGGGGGTTGGAGGAGTGGGACATCTTCCTGTGTGTAGTGGGTGGGCAGGGGCGAGGGAACGATTTTTTGGTTTTTCTGGATAATGTAAAAGCGTGAACAATCCCACGGATAGGCACTGGAATATGAGTTTGGTTTTTTTGTGGGTTTTTTTGTTTTTTAGAGATGAGGGAGAGGGATGGGGAAGCTGGCAGACAGGAATGAGCAAAAGCTGGGACTGCCCTGTCCTGACGTGCTCTGCCGTGCCCCCATCCAGACCTCACTTCCTAAGCACAGAACCAGAGGGGCCAGGGGAGCCCAGGAGATGGGATTCACGCAGCCAAATGGCCGGACCCCCACGCCAAAGAAGGAGATGGGGAAAGGCTATGGGGGGGGGGAGAGAAGTCTCCAGTCTCCCCCCCTCCCCTTTTACTCTCCCTGTTTAAAAAAAAAAAAAGGCAGTTAAAACAAGTCCCGTCCCCCACCCCCAGGCCGGGAGAGGGGATGGGGAACACATTCGGGGGAGCACAACGGACGCGCCCAGTTCTATACAGGCCTTTGGATGAAGCTACCGGCTATTTGGTGTGAGGTTTCTCGGGCCCTGTCTCTTTTGGTTTCTGGAAAAGAAAAATCCACAGTTGTTCCCTCCCCTGGTCCCCCGCCCCACCCCCACCTTCCTCCCCCAACCTCCGGGGACCGACACGTTCTCCTTTTCCACTGGGTAGATGGGGGCCGCAGAGCCCCCGGCCGTCAGCTGCGAGAGGGAGCCCCGGCGGAGGCGTCCGCTCTCCGCGGAGCGGGGAGACGCGCTGATTTGGTGTTATAGCGGTGAGCGGTGAGCGCACTGAGGTCTGGCTCTGGACTGGGTTTTTTTTGGTTTCGTTTTTTGGTTTCTTCTGTTCGCCCCGGCTCATTCTGGGCGGCTGGTTATGTCTGTTTCTATTTGGCTTTACTTTATTTTATGTTTGGTTTTTTCTTTCTAGGGGTATTTTTTTGTTTTTTTGGTGTTTCCTCCACTCTCTTTCTCCAGCTCCCGGACCCTCACCTCAATCCCCCGCCGCTGTCCCCCTACCACCAGCTTCCCCAACTGAGGAGACCAGAGGTGGGCGAGGGTGGAGGGTGGCAGGGAAAGGCAGAGGGGGTGTCTTCATTCCGATTTGGCCCCTGCCTCAGGCCCTCCGGAGGTCTGTGCTGCTGTTTCGATGCAAGAGGAGGAGGAAGAGGAGGAGGAGGAGGAGGAAGAGGAGGAAGAGGAGGAGGAGAGGCCTGGGGACTTGGTGGAGATGGAGGCTGCCACAGCGGCTGCCGCAGCTGATACAAGGCCCACCCCTGGAGGGGCGCTGAGTAGTGGCAGCCCGGCATGGTTCAGGAAGAGTGGTGAGGTCACGATGCCTGGGCTCCCTGGGGCGCCCCCAGCTGCCCCCAGCACCAGGTTCCCGCTGGCATCAAGGCTGGTAAGGGGGAGAGTTCCACCAGAGGCCAGGGCTGGAGAGATAGAGAGAGAGGGTGGGACTGGAGATGGAGGGGGAGACTTGCCGCCCAAGCCAGATCTCTTGACCTCTCAGAGTATGAATTTCTCCATCTTTATAATTGGGTGGAATGACCTCCCGGGTCCTTCCTGGCTCTGCTGTTTTGTTTTCTAAGGTCCCTCCTAGCTCTGACATTCCCTGTTCTAAGGACCCTCCCACCTCTGACTTTCCCTGTTCTAAGGCCCCTCCCAGCCCTGACATTCCCTGTTCTAAGGACCCTCCCACCTCTGACTTTCCCTGTTCTAAGGCCCTCCCAGCCCTGACTTTCCCTGTTCTAAGGCCCTCCCAGCCCTGACATTCCCTGTTCTAAGGCCTCTCCCAGCTCTGCAGTACTCTGTTCTAGAGTTCCTCCCAGCTCTGGCAGTCTGTTTCACATTCTAAGACTCTTTCTAGTTCTAATATTCTGCAGAACTGAGCAGTTCCACTTAGGATCCCCCAGAACAGAGAAGCCATTCTCCCACCTGGGCTATTTTCCTTCACTTGGAGGTCACTTAGAGTGCTTCTCTCCAGCAGCCCCTGGGCATCACTACCTGCCCCATCCCTCGCTCATTGCATTACTCCATCTCACTCTTCTCATTTTGTGGAACGAGGATGAGGTATACCTCCAGATGGGAGGAAGATGGTCCTAGGGAGGGAAAGGCAGGGAGTGATGCCCAGGGGCTGCTGAGGGTGGCAGGGAGGGTCGAGCTGAGCCTGAGGGTGAGGACATCCTCAAACCCAAACGTCAGCCCTGGAAGCTTTCACACACACACACACACACATGCAAACACATACACACATGCACATATACACATACACACACATGCATGCATGCATGTGCACACATACACTGCCCATCACAGAAGCAGTTACAGGCATGCTGATGAGTCCAGCAAAAGCCTCCATGGTGTCCTTCGAAGGCATGGATGGGGTGATGGCAGAGGGGACAAAGGGAGTGTGATGTAAGGTGACGCACCTTGTATGGTGGCCAAAGGGTTGTTACCCATGAGAGCCGGACTCAACCCCGAGCTCAGCCCCACCATTGTGCTTCTGGAAGAGGCAAAGCAGACGGGTTAGTGGGGGTAGGCAGGGGGTTAGCAGGGGCAGGGGCACAGCCTCTTGAAGCAGTAACAGCCAGCTTGCCCTCCCCGGGCCCCAGACTTACCCTGTGCTGGGGTTCAAGCCTGACAGGCCGATGGCCGCGTGGCTGCCTTGGGGGCTGGGATTTGTGCTGTTGGTGGTGGCAGGGGGCGGGGGAGTGATGGAGGGGATAGAGTTGGGGGGGGTCACGGCCCCACCCCCACTGCTGCCCCCTCCAGCTGTCCGACTGGGGTGGAGGGTCCCCACAGCTGAGGACAAGGTAGTAACTAGGAGAGACAATGACAGAAGCCCTGAGTGCCAGAGCCAGTAAGCCCTGAGAGCAGACCTCTCCCCCACCTCTTAAGAGTGGAAAAAAAATTCAGGCTAGGAAGGGAGCTGTCCAAGGTCCAACTGCAAGTCAGTGAGTGCCTGAGAGAGGTTTACCCCTTCTTCCCACGCCTTCCCTAGTCCCCTAATTTAAGTCCCAAAGCCCACCCTGTACCTCTTTTCTTGCTCACAAGGACTGACCTGTTGTGCTCAGACTGCTGGAAGCCGGGGACAATGGCAGGGTCCCCCCAGCCCCCTGAGGTGTGACCTGGAGAGACAAGGAAGAAAATAACTCAGGATGTCATTCCCGCATGGGCACACCAAACCAAGGGTGACTGCCCCCCTACTTCAGAGACCCAGACTTGACTAGGCAGCAGGAGGAAAGAAGAGGCCAGGGCATGATAAACATATGTGTGTGCATGTACATATGCACAGGCATATGCATGTATATTGTGTGTGTATTATGCCACATCTAATCTTCAGTAACAGTCATCTCAGAATTCCAGAGACAAAGTCACAGATGAAAGGCACCCTCCAGACAGCCCCCTTCACTTGGCAAATGGGGAAACTGAGGCTGAGACAGGGGAAATATTTCTTCCAAGGTCCCACAGTAAATTTGGTGCTTAACACAAAGGAATGAATAATGTCCAACATTCGATTGTTAACCCATACAAGCCCCCCCAAACCAATCCTGTTAATTCTGTAATAATGGTTTTCATGTAGGTTTTTTCAACCAGGCCGCTTGTCATTTGACATGAGGCTTCAATGCAGTCACAAAGCTGAGGGTGTGAATGCTTTCTGGTAGCTTTCTTTTGGAAACACTCCTAGCCTGGGAGTCGGGAGACCTGCATTATGGTCCCACTTGGGCTCCAATCTGATATGGAACCTGAGGGAAATGTCTCACCCCACCCCTGCCCCAGCCTAAGATTTCCCCTTCCGTAAAACAAGAATCCCTCTCAGCTCTGAAGTGTGTGAAGTGCTGGACCTGGAGTCAGGAGGACTTGAGTTCAAATCTGGCCTCAGACATTTCCTAGCTGTATGACCCTGGGCAAGTCACTTCACACTGTTTGCCTCAGTTTCCTCATCTGTAAAATAAGCTGGAGAAGGAAAGGGCAAACCACTCCAGTATCTTTGCCCAGAAAACCCCAAATGGGATCACAAGAATAAGTCACGACTAAACAACAACAATCATTGAACATTCTTAGACAGCTTTTCTGGCAAGCATCACGTATTTGTTGGTTAAACTTGGAGATGGCTGCCTGGGAATGCTTGACATCATGGAAGATCTGTGGTGCAAACAGAATGGAATCCCCTCTTGCAAACAATAATGGAGCCCTGGGCTTAAAAGAACTCAGCAGCAGATTCTTCAAAAAGGGGCATATCTTTGTACAAATCAAAGAATTACTTCATTGGGCACCAACCTGGATTTTCACATAGATTCGATTTTGTTTAAATCAGGTCATAGGTGTAAGTTGGTACTAGGTTCTGAGATCCCTAAGACAAAGGTCTGGAGCTTTTTCATTATGTCTTCTCAATTCTCAGGATAGAGTAGGAGCTCAGGGAATATGAGAAGGGATGGATGGAAAGGGATGGATGGATGGAAGAACAGAGGGATGGATGGATGGATGGATGAAGAGAGGGGGTGAAGGGATCAATGGATGGAGGATGAAGGGATGGGGAGAGATAGAGGGATGGGTGGATAGAGAGAGATGGAGG